CCGCCCCCTCACAGGGTTTGTAGTGGCACGTATGAATCCAAGTTAAGAGGCTCAGAAATACTTAAGTGCACAGATTAGCACAGTGAGATGGGAATGTGACTATGCTGCTGTCATTTTTGATACTTTTAATCGAATTCATAACAAACTAGCAGAATTCATTATCATGGTGGTGAACCGGGTGAAGCACAGTGTAGTGTGAAGACTTCTGGGAAATTCATGATGGAAACAAGAAAGAAATAATCAAGGAGATTGTTAGTTGATTCCAATATTATGACACCTCCAGATAGTTGGAGGGAAGCTAAGTGAGGGACCCCATGGAGAACTGCTATTGTAGAAACTGGCAAGGCACTTGCCAACCTCTTTCCAATTCCTGTACACACTGAAAAACTACATTGGCCAGCCTCCCATGCCGTTGAATGGGACCGTGAATCTGCCCAGTGGTACATGGGCAGAAGCAATACTTTCCAATTCCAGGCCTGGCAGTAGCTGCCCCACACAGTCTCAGTACTTCTCCCTCTCCTCCCTTTTTCTCCCCAAGAAAGTAAAGGACTAAGGATGGTAGGATCATATGATGGAAGGATCTGAGATCACTGAGTCACCTTGTGGAGCAGAATCAGGTGAGTTCCCAGTCACCCAGTCCAGGGCCAACAGAGAATGACCCTGTGGGTAAAGTTTGCTGACCTCATCCTAGTCAACTGTGATGCAAGGGAGAAGTAACCCTTTATTTTATTAAACTGCTGATCGACATGATAAGATCCCTTATTGTGCCATTTAGTGGTGATTACACAACCACTGCTCTCACTGCAGGCTTTTCTTACTGCTTTTTATTATGACAGTAGTGAAATGACATGAAAGCAACCATGAAAAATGTATTAAACCAACAATTTCATTTTTGTATATTCCACACAAATCTTTTGTGTAAAACACACACATGTGTGTATGTATGTATGTATGTATGTATGGACACACACATATAATTGGAGTATGGGAGATACAAATTTGTGTCAACCCTTTCCACTTAAAATTATATAATTAGTTGCCTCCACAATTAATATTAATGTAGGTATAATAATCTTGAGAATTTGAGCGTTCACACAAAAATATCCAAGGTTATTAGGCCTCTCAATAAAGTGAAGTCATAACACAAAAACATTCAATAATAAACACATCATTTTGAAAATTAGGCCCTTCTTAAATTTTCTCACTTAACATTACTTTTGTAACATTTACTGACCCAATACAATAAAATGTAAATAATGGGGAAGTGAAATTGCAAACGTTCATGGGATGCAGCTATTCATGGAGTCTATGAAAGTGATGTTGACTTACTGTTGAATCAAAGGCAAAACACTGGCAAATGGGAATAAGTTAGTTTATAAGTTAATAATTGAAAAAATTCAAAATTAAGTGTCAAGCCACCAAGTATGATGACTTACTAAAATATTAAGATTATTAAACTATTCAATTATTAAAGATTAAATCAATTATTTGAGTCATGGATTATTTAGAAATGTGTTATAAACTTACAAAGGCAAAGTTCCATTGTGGTCAGAGATCAAACTATTTAGTACCAAATTTATTGAGACATATTTTATGGCCAAATGTATGGACTGTCTTGGCCAGTATTTAATTTGTACTTGGAAGAGAATGTGCATTCTGTACTCGTTGGCTGAGCTCTTCTGTATGTCAGTGAGATCAAATTTATTTTTACTATTTAAATTATCCATATTCTTACAGATTTTTTCTACTTATCTATTACTAAAAGAATGGTGTCAAAATCTCAAATTATTCTTGTGAAATTGTGTAATCCTCCCTTTAATTCTGTCAGCTTTGCTTCATGCATTTTGAAGCTCTGTTATTAGGAGCATATGCACTTATAATTATTATGTCTTCCTGATAAATTGATCCTTTTAACATTTGAAATGTTTCTCTTTATCTCTGGTAATATTTGTTGTCTTGAATGGCATTGACTGGTACACTGTTTGTCTGGAATACCTTTTCTGCCCTTTTCCATTCATTCTGTCTGTGTTTTGTATGTGAAGTTCATCTATCTTTTGTTGGAAGCATATATTGGCTTTCTGTTGCTGTTCTTGTTGTTTTAACCAAGTCTGAGAGTCTATGTCTTTTATCCAAGTATTTAGTACATTTACATTTAATCTAATATTGATGTAGTTGAGTCTTAATCTACCATCATACTATGTATGCTCTATAATCCCATCTCTTTTTTCATATAATCCATTTTCTGCCTTCTTTTTTTAGTTGAATATGTTAGGTATTCCATTCGATTCCTCTTACTGAATTTTTAAATCTACCTGATTGTATTATTATCTTAGTAGTTTTAACATGGATCTTTAACTTAGTTACAATACCTAAAGTTAGTACTGTAGTATTTTGTGTATTACACAAGAATCTTAGAATAGTGTAACTCCATTTATACTCTGTCCTTTAGTAAAGTTACTGTTTCTATAGTTTAATTCCACATTAGTAATAAACCTCTGCAACTCACATTCACAAGTGCCCAACACAGGAGAAAAGTTTGCTTACCCCTTTGAGAAATAGAGAAATGTGCTGGATGGCATGTCCTTATACAACTGATGACAGTGACCTTCCCCAGCTCATATGATCTGTCAAGACTGGGTGGTGAGTCAGGCTTATCAAGAGCACAGCTTGAAAGAGAAGGACTGTTTCAAGCAGCTCAGGGATGGTTGCCTCAAGAAGGATGGGTGATGCTAGAGAAGAAAACAGTAACTGTCCATCACTGGGTGTGGGTGGGATTTGAAACCGGGTTTTCTGACTCCAATGACCAGACTTCTAGTCCTTACAAGACACCTCTTTTCAAGAGGCAACTGTTATGTGCTCACCGCCCATTGGACATTTTTGTGATGCACTATGCAAGAAAGCATGGTGTGGGCTGAGATAAATCCCAGTGGTAACACAGGGAAGTTAACAGAATTAGAGGTTTCTCAGTGTGAAAACCAAAAGGTTAAAATCAGTATCATAAATAAGTAAGGAGTTTAAAGTAAGGAGTTTGAAGACAGAAGCTTTGCCATCTCGCCTTCAAATCTGCATTGCTTCGGCCATTGGTCCAAACAGATTTGACCTCTCTGAGTAAATAGATGAATTTTTATTATTATATATGAAGATTTTATATTTTGTCCACTCTTCTTATTTAGCAAATTAAAAAACTAGAAATGTGGATGATTCCAAGGACCGACGAAGATATTAAGTGGTGGTTAAGTTCCACGACCTCTGATGAGACTAACTAACCATGGCTCAGCCGCTCCAGGCAGCCCCCAGCACACACCGACCCTGCTCCCTGACTCGGCCTTCGTGACCCAGATCGCATGCCCAGGCACTCACTAAGGACGCTGGTGGCAGGTAGGCATTGGAGGTGATGTGATGTTTATACTTAGGGGGCTAGGTAACATTTTGATGACTCTTCTTATGGACATGTAAAAAATTAACAGGCTAGATTTTCATGTAGGGAGGGAACAGGTGGTGAGATCAAAGACAATGGAGGGAAAAAAACCCAGAAATTACCTCACTAAGATTAGAGACATAGAAATTCACATAGTAAGATTTCTCAAGTATTTTCAAATAGAATTTATTTTAATAAACAGATTGTATTTAAGTGTCATTGGTAACTATGCAACTAAAGATTTTACATATATATATGTATATATGATATCTGCTCTAATATTTTTGACTGAACATTTCCTTCCTCATTTTAAAAAGTATTTACCTAGTATTTACTCTCCCCCAGATCTCTGTCCCCCAAACCTGCTTTATGGAGCGCCTAACACAGAGCTCTACATATGTAAGTGCTCAAAGATTAGTCATTATTGTATTTTTTCACTATAGATGCAGGTAAAGGGTTAGTTTATAAAGATGATTTTGGTTTTTCTTTTAAAGATGATGTTTCATGTTAACTTTGTGTTTTACTATGGCTGCATTTGAGCCCTTCTCGATTATGATCATATTTTATTTTTAGGACTTCTAATTTATTTTTACACCTTACTTAGTGTCATTCCTTCCTTTGCCTCATTTTGTGGATTTGACACTCAGGAAGTTGACACTCAGCAAAGAACCCAAGTGTGGTCTCTGGACGGTATAAGTTTGACTAAGTTAAGCATCCTACTTTTGACTGATGTACAACAAAATATGTTCAGCAAAGGGTGCTATCTTTTCTTCCTAAAATGTCATCAGATACAAATTATTGTAACTCTAAGATGCATGAGGACACTTGCCAATCGCTACTTTTGTAGTTTTTTTTGTTACTTCCGTAAAATTGCATTTATGCTTTCAGCCACATTCATCTTGAGTGACTGAAGTGCTTGTCTCTAAACCAAGAATGTGTCAACTCTTCCTGTTGCTCTGATCTGTAGTGTTGGTACCATGGACTCACAGTGTCCCAGTGCATGAGGTCGGGGCAGTGATACATGGCAGATGCCATGATGTTGCAGATGTACGACAATGAGGTGTGTTTCTGGAGGACCTCCTATTTTTCAGGCACTGCAGTGCAGGGGACACCTGAGTGGTGAAAAGTGGCGTTTCTTCCCTTGTTCATCAGTCTGCATATAAAGTGAACAAACAGGGCAGTGATAATAGAAAACTAAGATCACGAAAGGCACAGCCATTTATAAGCAGCAGTGATCTTCTTGGGCACTTTCATACATGTTGGATAAAAACTGCTCTGAAAAGTAAACAGTAGCTTCAGATCTCCACAAACAAACCCATCGGAGGGCCTGGATATGCCTTTGATTAAAAGCCCAGAGTTCCCCCGCGAGAAGCACAGCGCCCCTTCCTCCAGTGTCAGTCATGCTTCCCAGGGGCCCAGAGCTTGCCAGCCCCCCAGGCGCCGGGAAGGATGTTTGGGGTGCCCCCTTCCAAAGTGAGATACAGAGGAGACAAGAAGCTCAGCATTCTCTTCCCAAACACTGTGCAACAACCCACCACAGTGTCCCGGTGCTGCGCCTCATGGCATGTTGTCACTCCATGAAATGTGGCAGAAAGCCGCGTCCTGTCACGCTACCTGCAATATTCCCCCGACACGGAGCTCTGTCCTTCGGCAAAGGCCTGACCAGGGCAGCCTCCTGCCGGCTGAGCCTGCCTGTGCGCCCAGAGGGTGCACGCCCAGGCCCCTGCCAGCCTCCTCCTGGGCAAACACCTGCGCGGGTTCTCAACCGCCTGCGGCTGCACCGGGCCTGACGGGCCAGGCGTGCGCGGCGGTGCCAGCAGCCGGCACACGGCTCCCGGGGCGCGCAGGGCCCCGACCCAGCCTAGGGGAAGCGCACGCCCAAGCCGGGACCCGAGGGCTGGGGAGAAGCCCGGGGTCTCGTCGGGAGGAGCGTGTCACGGGCGCCCCTGCAGGGCCTGGGGCCACAGGCAGCGGCATGTTTCATTTTCACCCCCGAAAGGCTGGCGGAGGTGAGCGGAAGGTACAGTAGCGCCGCCGGTGGTGGAGCGCAGGGAGGGCTGCCCCGTGGAGGCCTGGGCTTGCGGCGGACCCACCACGGCGCCCCCGCCCCCTGCCCCCCTGCAGGCGGCTTTCCTGGCTTTCGGACGCCCCGCCCGGTCTCTGAAACGCGTTCCGCCAGGACCGCCCCCCGAGGCGCGCATCCAGGGGCCGGGCGTCCTGGGCGCACTGCCGCCGCCCACCTCCGAGCCCTCGCCCGCCCCACACCTGCCGGCCCTGCGCCCCGCGCCGGCTCCGCTCGTCCGCGCTCATCCCCCGGGGCCCGGCCCCCACCCCGCGCCGGGAGCCTCCGAAGGCGGCCGGTGTTTGAAGGAAGTTTTTAACGGAGGAATGTGCCGTTAGGGGACACCGTGAAAGCATGGCACGGGCAGTCTTTCTGTATTAGAAACAGTTTTCATATGTACATTTCATTATTTTACGCCCCAAAGCGTGGCGTGGGCAGCCGCTGCTTGCTGGCAGGACTTGCTGCTTTTACACGTTCCGTCGTTGTGAATCGCTTTGGTTCAGGCATGTCTCTTGGAAAGAGAACACCAGTTGATCGTTGCCTTTTCAGCTGATTTTAGGTTCGTAGTTTAACAGTAACATTGTCCAAAGTAATTAGTAAAGGTGTGATAAACTGTTTGAACAACTGTTTAAAGTAACGGCTACCAGCGTCTATCTTACTTCGGTGCTGTGATTCACTGACCTCCTCTGAAACCTGGGTTTTGATGCCTGTATTTCACAGATCAAGGAATGAGCCTGAGATCCCGGGGCCCCCCGGCCCGGGCCCGTGCGCCCCGTCTCTCTCCTGTATCCCTTCCACGAAATCTGATGGTCCCACGTAGGCATCTTCACTGTCTCATGCATCTCTTGAGATGTGTTCAGGAGGCTTTATGGGTTGGACTGTCCCGGTTTGGGGCATATTAGGGCATGTCTTTCTAGGACCTGCTGCATCCAAAGGTAGCCTCTTTCCCAGGGTCTGCCTGACTCCCCAGCACTGCCAGCCCCGCGGGGTGGGGGGGGGGAAGCCTCTGTTTTATTCACAGCCAGGCACCCTGGCACCTGGGGTACAGCCTGGAGAACAAAGGACTCATTAATTATTTGTTGAATGAGTGAATGGGTAAATGAAGGGAGGGTTTTTATTTAAACAATTTTTCTTTAAAGCTGTAAATGTTGCCCCCGTGTTTTCCAGCACTGGATGCTGCTGGGAGATGGACTGTCGAGGAGAGACGTTGGGGCGCTCATGAGCTGGGGCTTCTGCTGTCGGGGTGAGCAAGAAGCCCTGACAGCAGTGCTAGTTGCTTTCCTGTCACTCGCCGTCAGGGCTGAATCCGCAGGGAAGCTAATGGCGCTGAGCCTTTAAGGGTCTTCGTCAGGCCCAGTGGGTCCCCAGCATTCGCTGGCCGCTGTGAGCTGCTGTGAGATTTTAACAGGCGTTCGGGGCAATCATCAAAGCCCACAGCCTCTTTCCTATCAACTCCCCTCGTTGCAGGGCAGCTGCGTCGTGCAGGTCTCACCCTGCACACCCCAGGGGAACCTCAGCCTGCCCAGGGGAGGGCTCTTGACTGAGTGAGAAAGAATGGAGCCGGTCGGAAGAGCAGAGCGTGGGGAGGAAGGAGTTCACTGAAGCAGGAGTTAGAAATGAGGGGCAGCGGTGGTGTGGGCAGCTGAGGGCAGGAGAGTGCAGAGGTGCAGAGGGAGGGAGAGGGGGCCTCTGCGTAGGATCCCCCAGGCCACAGGAACCTGCGGGCCCAAATCTGAGCTCTCAGCAGCGCCCCCTACTTATCTGAGGTAAAATGGAGACTTGGAAATAGAATGAAATACAAAAAGGCAAAACGCAGTAAGTTGAGCAGTGAGAAAGCTTTACTTGAAGGTACGCACTTACAGGGAGGAAAAGGACGTGAGTCCGCGGAGAGGAGGCACAGGGAAGGCTAGGGGCTCCCCATTTTAAAGATTTTTCAAAAGGCCGAGAGGTTTAGACTTGTGAAGTTGTCTCTAAATGCTAGCTCTGGTGAGAGACATTAAGTTTCTTCTATTATCAGTCCCCCAGGTAATTCTGCAAAATTAACAACACAAGAAATGGGCCAGTTCCTCTCCAGGATAGCAGCTTCCCTCTGGGAACATATCAACCAAGACTGCCCGCCCTGCCTCGGAGTGGACTGAGTCATTGTGTTTGCTAAAGAGCATGTTAGTGCTGGGAAGGAGAGGTGGTTGGGTGTCGCAGGGAAGTCAGATGCAGTGAGACGAGAGGCCAAAGTCAGGAAAGCAAACTAAGTTTTAATGCACTGCGCAGAGTAACTGAGTGGGCTGCCTAAGGTGAGACAGGCCCAGATGCTCCTTCGGAGGATTCTTTCATGTGGTTTTTGGTAGGGCAGAGCGGTCCTTGATTGACAGCTGTCAGCTCTCTTGGCTTTTTCTGATTGGTGAAATGGGGACAGGGGCTGTGCTGTGCCTGTACTTCTGATGTTTCTTATCTGGGGGGATGCTGGGCATTTCCTGAGTCACCCCTGGACCCTGTGGCTTCATCTGATTAACTCTCTGAGTCATTTCTGGCTTTCTGGTTCTGTGGTCAACTCCCTGAGTCATCTTTGGGGGGCCCTCTCACCTTTTCATCCCACTCATTTCTTTCTGCCTAACATTAGGAATCTTATTTCCTAACTTCCTGGTTTTTAAAATGGCATCTTAACCTTAAGATGGAATCTTTCCTGCTCTGACTATATTGTTTATACCTCAGCTTTTTGGGGGAACTGATCATGATGCTGGTCTCCTGTCTCTGCCCTGTGCCACCCTCACCGTGTTTCCCACCATGGGGGGGGTCACTGGCTGGGGCAGCGGGGGCAGGGGAACATTCGGTTCAGTGGGATTGAGTGGGTCACAGTCGCTTCTGCATCCTGCTGCTGGGGTGACTTCATGAGATGTTCTGATCACCGCCCCCCACCCCCACCTACCTGGTGCTGTGATATGAGCACTTACGAAGGTAAGACCGCATGCAGCCAAAAAATGCAGTTAGAACTGCATACAAGTGGGCCGCACTGTTAAATACGGGCCGCACTGTTAAATAACTGAAAAAGACATGCTATTTTCTGGACTGTGTGATGCTTGCAGCAATCATCATCTTTAACACTTTTAATTTGTTGTTCTTTTATTTTAAATGAATATTCTCATTTCTTCCTAATTTTACATGCATAATTTTCTTAACGAGTTCCCCCAAATCATACAAGCTTCAAGCCTCCCAAAATTAAGAATGATTTTAATTTCTCTAGAATTTTATGCACCAAACAACATGGAGTAAATTTATATGGAACAAAAATTGTACAAAAAGCAAAAAATACATTAGTTGTGAGAAACTTGATGCCTCTCTCTGACTCAGTATTCCATAGATCAAGAAGAGTTATGACAGATATCTTTATGAAACGTGTGGTCTAAAATAGAAAACAAAAATCAGATGGAAAAACAAATAAATAATAGAACGGTAGACTGAGTTGTATCTTATCAGTAGTTACATTAAGTATAATTAATAAAAGGCAAAGATTGTTGGGGTGGATAAAATGCAAACCCAAAATGTATGCTGTCTACAAAAGCAATGTTTAAATAAGAAGACGCACATAATCGAGAATCAATGGATGGGAAAGATAAAGCATGTAGGTCAGTGGTGTGAGGACATGAATATCGGAAACAACAGTGTTTCACATACGAGTATTGCCAGAGATAAGGGGTAAGTTTGCATGATGGTAAAATGTCCTTCTGTTCATCAGGAAGTCAAAATAATTATAAAATGCATATGCCTAATGAATGAGTCTCCAATACATGCAACAAAATTGGCCAAATTAAAAATGGAAACAGAAATTCCATATCCAGACTAAGACCTTAACACTTCCCTCTCTGCAGCTGATAGAACAGCTAGACAAAACTAACAGAACAACTGGTCAGTAAGGGCAAGAGCGACCTGCGGCCCAGCATCGCTCTGAGGGCATTCCTGCCGCGCATGGGCTGATGGTGGGCCAGCATGGCACACGCCTCATCTGTGACCCAGATCTTGGTGGGAGGGGACTTCCCCTCCTCCATGGCTGTGTGGCTGTCCTCCTGCAATGCCAAGGGGTCACTGCGAGGAGACTGTGGCTGTTTAGCTTCCTCCCTAAGCAAGGTCCCCTGTGCCCAGAGACCTGCCCGAGCAATGGTTACAGGAGCCAAGCGGGCTCATCCGGGCATCGGACACCCAGGGCCACACCAGGCTCTTGCTTCCCTACCTCTCCTTGTACACTTTAGGTTTTGGCCACTGAGGGCTCCTTATTTACCTGCCAGCTCAGTGGTGCAGTTAAAAGAGATGATTTTAAAATTGCATTTATCATTTTAGTTGTTTTCAGGAAAAGGGACGTTCAGGAAACTTAGTTTGTCATGAGGGTAGAAATGGAAGCTGCCTTATGAGATACAGGGTAAATAAATCAGCAAACGTCTGTACACTGTTGGCCATTACAATGCTGTTTCTGACAACAAGAAGGGGCATAACTACAGGGCTCCGAAGGTGAACATCTGAATTGGATGTGATTTGCAGAGACACGTGAGTGTGCAGGGCAAGGCCACTTAGCAGCAGAGATGCTTCCAAGAAGGAAGGCTGGGCCTCCTTGTTTGTCTCCAGCAACTATTTGTGGTGTAGGAGTCACCCTGGTTCTCAGGGACAGGGAGCCAGCACGTCCCTTTGGAAGAGCTGCCAAGCAGCCTTCCTGACTCGCGGTGGGTACAAAGTGCAGCCTTTTGTTTCCACTGCTTTGTGTATTTTAAGCCCAATGGATGAAGTGACCCCGGCCTGACTCCTGCGCTGGGCCAGGCTGGCTGTGGCGATGCTGTCTGAGCAGCTGGATTCCACTCCAGGGGCTCTCCCCGCAGCGAGTCACCGTTAACTTAGCACGAACCAACCTCCTTTTATTTCTTTTGCATCATGAAAATGAATTGAAAAGGCAAATATCACCTCTGAGATTCACTGACATTACTTCAGTTAAATATACATTGTTTCCCTATAGATTTTTACATAGTTTGGTCTATCTTAAAATGGTGATGTGAAGTCACCCAATCAGGAGCTGCATGGAGACCCTGTCTCCTTTCACTCCTCTCACCTCCTTTTGGACGTGGCAGATTGGATTTTGGCTGAGTCTGTGTAAAAATTCAGAGACTTGGCCGCGGTTGATCTGTCACTGCTACTGCAAAGGCCCTAATAACAACCAGCTGAGACAAGAATGAAGTCCAGGCTTGGAAAACAAACAGAGCCTCCCCTCGCTGAGGTCTCACTGCTGCAGCGACACCCACCCTGTGTTAAGTGCACCTCGGTGTGAGGAGTGGGTCCTGGGGTGGGTGTGGGCTGCATTGGACGCCCGCTGCTCTGCCAGGTGGGGTGACCCACGCCCAGCCTCACCAGTT